TTCACCTGGATTTTGCCAGCTTCAGGCATACACATGGTACACATACTTACATGCAATGAAACAATCATGCACATAAAATAGAAATAAATCTTATTTAATAGTTCAGTGTGCTTAGACATTCATTAGCTTTATGGGTGAGTTGGCATAACCCTTCTCAACTTTGACTATACATTACAGTTACTAAGAAACTTAGAAAATTCTACTGATGTCTGACCCTGTCACCCTGAAGATTTGGGCTAAAGTTGTCTTGCCAGAGTATGACCCTGTGAACACTGGCTACAGATAATTGTACACACCATTGTCCTCCCATCATCACTGCTCACTATGCAGAAGGCCAGCCATGAACCATATACTACTAATCTCTTGTTACATAATCAAGACCTAAGCATCCCATTCTTTAAAAGCTTTTAATAACCATTGTAGACCTTTCAATATTGTTGGCAGGAAAATTAAATCCCTAAAATTGTGACCAGCCAAGAAATCTTGAGTATTTACAGGAGCCTATTAGTGTGATAGACACTTGAGTTATGAAAGAGCTCATGTAGATAGTTCACTGCCGTAGCCATGCTGAGTATTTTAGTATTCACAGTAACAAAAGGCTGAGATGTGGAGATGCTAAGTCTGTGAGCCTGGCAAATACAAAACAGCTTTCCCACCATCTGGACCTTGCTGGTGAATAAAATAAAAGCCACCACCTTGTGTCTCCACCAAGTTCCCTTGCTCCCTTCTCTGGAGGTTTAGGCAGTTTTTAGGCATGGGGCTTGGGCACCATCATACTCTGTGGCATAGAGTTGTCTGACTGTTTGGATGAGCAGTTGCCTAAGACTCCTGCGAGACCTGGGAGATGATCTGTTTTGGTGTCCATGTTTTTTTTCTAAAAGATGAAGTAGAAACGGGGGGGGGGGCTTCTCCAGGCTGGAGAGAGAAGACTTGGAGTATACCTGATGCATAGAGAGTGTGCTGAGCTGGGCATCTGAACAGGGCCCATATCCAGGGCCCTCTCCATCACTCTCTAGAGCACTGTACCTGAGTGCCCTCAACTTGTGACAAGAAGGACCATCAGAACCACATGCCCTGACTGCTGAAGGGCTCCATCCAGTGTGATAAATCACTCCACCATGCTTTGCTGGCTGGACCGTTCTATTGACTTTTAACATATTATTATTGCACCATAATTTTCCACTCAGCCCTCAGCTTGGCTGCTTCTGAGCTTTCATGATGACAAGTTAGAGGGGGAAACACGAGTGCACATTCTCTATAAGGCCAAAGAAGTTAATGAGTAAGAGCCTGGATTCCATGCAAGCTCTCAGCTCTGCTCCTGTAATTGGGACAGTTTATTGAATGGATAACATATGGTGGAGCCCTCCACAAATTAGCCTGTTCTAATAGAAAATAAGGAGTCAGAATGACCCTGGTGACCAAGAAGAGCACTAAAAAGTGCTGTTGACAGTAATGGATGGCACAAACATAGCCACCAGACGTCATATGCCTTCTGCTAGTGTCGCTCGTCTCTTTTTTTTCCTCATTCCCTTTTGAGGAATGCTCTTGAGCTGGGTACCTACTAACTCCAGCCAGACTGCCCAGCTCCAGGAAGCTTTGTAAGAGGCACACTTTCCCCTCTCTGGGCTCTCTCCTTCCTACCCTCCCTGCTCCCTCTTTCTCTCCAGCCTCTCCCCATACCACCTCACTAAATGCAGAGTGATTATAAAGCACTCCTTGAAGCTCCAGATTTAGTCTCCTTAGTCCTATTAGAGGAACCGCAGAGCCCCAGGGGAGACAAACAACAAGATAAGGAGAAAGCTTATTCTCTGGAGTACTTGATGGAAGAGGCATCCATTTGAGATGATTTGAAAATTGTCCTGGCTTGTGCCATAACATTTCCCTTTCAAGGAGAGACGTGTCTGCCTTTCATGTGTCCTCCTGTGCTTACCTGCTTTCATGCCGGCTTCCTTTCCTGATGTGCAAAGGATGCTCAAAACAGAAAATCGAGTTGGCTCAAAGCCTGTGGGATTAGCAGCCATAAAACTTTGGCAAGCTGAAAAAAATAGCTAAGGATGTCATGGGCCCGAGTGTGTCCTGAGAACTGCTTTTTTGTGACTGACAGTCACACCACCCCTAAACAGATAAAGAGCACAGACTACCCTTTACAAGTATCCTGAAAGTAAGGTCAGCAGGCCAGGATTTGAGTCACATGGCCTCTGCCTGTTCTGGCACTGACCTCAGACTGGAGAGGGATGGCTTTCAACAGTGAGCTACTTCAAGTTGGCTTCACCCACCCTCTTCCCTCTGCAGTATGAAATAAACTATGTTTCCTGTGTTTAGTAGCCACATAGTGGGTCTCTGAAACATGATCGACAAGGTGCAAGGATTTGTTTACAAAATAAAATTGGGGAATGGGGTGTTCCTTCCCCATACTGTTTTCCCTTTCTTAAAATGAGTATTTTATTTCTCTATCCTACCCCACCCCAGCCCCATTTCTTAAGTCCAGAGCAAAATTTAAAAGGCCAATTTCAAGGCCCAGTGATAAGGCTCAGCCAGTAAACATGTGTGCTGCATAGGGTTGCTGGCAACAGGTCTCTGACCCACAGAACACACCGCAGAAGGGAAGATACTTCTCCATAAAGTTGTCTTCTGACCTCCACATGTGCGCTGTGGCATGCATAGACACACATACATAGGCAGAAATACTCAGACACACAAACACATACACAGTAAATAAAAAGTATTTTTTTAAGTCAGCTTTCTTTCAGGGAAGCACTTTCTGCAGAGGGTCAAAGGTCAAGTGCAAAGGACAAATGAGTATCACCCCATCTCTCTCAACTCCCTTGTTGCCCTATATGTTTTGTCCTCGACAGGGATGACCATAGACATGCTGGTGTTTGTTAAAGTGCCTAGCTTTGATGACTTTTGCCCCTTAAGTGAGAAATGGGACTTAGGACCCTCCAAGCTTATCCAGATTCTTCCTGTTGCAGCTGTTAGTGGAGCCCTTGAAAGCAGGAGCTAAATGCAGTGAGGACCAATGTGTCCATGGAGATTGCCTTTCCAGGGCCGAGCTGTTTGCTGATTGGCTTGCACTCACTCCTCCCTGCCTTTTCAGGGTGGGGCATCTGTTGATTGGCTTGCACTCACTCCTCTGTTTCCTTTTTTCTTTTGACGATGCTACAGACCGTTGAAAACTGTGTTTGCATCTTGAGGAACCTCTCATACCGACTAGCAGCAGAAACGTCTCAGGGACAGCACATGGGCACAGATGAGCTGGACGGGCTGCTCTGTGGGGAGGCCAATGGCAAGGATGCGGAGAGTTCCGGGTGCTGGGGCAAGAAGAAGAAGAAAAAGAAATCCCAGGATCAGGTGATGCTACATGCTCACAGCTGCATGCAATTATCCCCTTCCTCACTAAGATACTAAAAGCTGCATCAATATACAGGGCTCTGCATTTACAGTGTATGGTGAAACCACTAGCATGTCTGCATGATTTTCCTGTCTTCCAATTCAGGCTGAATAGAAACTTCCAAAGTAAAGAAAAAACCATCGGCATACTCCAGTGACCCAGTTCCTAGAGTGTCGGTAGAGGCAGGTACTGCTGCTTGTACGTTGGGTGACAAATGCATTGAGTCCTCTTTAGAGATAGTAAAGGTGGCTACCATGAAGGTGATAGAATGCCCAGGACAGGAAAAGGCACGGAAACAGGGAAGCTGACAGAGGAGACATGATATACAGTATATGTTTGACGGCAAGTTTCAGAAGGGTTGGTTATTATTGTCTTATTTAACCTTGGGAAGTGGGGATGAGAATTCATGGGCTTTACAACTCGATGATGTCAGAATTTTGGTCTTGGAGAACAATTTTAGTAGGTTCAGAACACTGCAGCTGAAGAAGGCAGCCTCCTCAACATAGGGTGCTCTGCATGGTAGACACCTGTAGGAAGGTTTCCCTGCTGCACCATGAAAGCCATTAGGCAGCTCACCTCAAGCTGGTGGTGAGCAACAGTCTATTCCTGGGGTCCCTGGGGTATAAAAGCCCTCACACCCAGTGCCTCTAGGACAAGGCAGGGTGGAGCTGCCCATCTACAAGCAGCTGAGAATTCTGCACTGGAGGAGGCTGTTTCTAGACACTGCACCTCTCTGATGGACACCAAGCCTCCAGCATTCCCCTCAACTCTGTACAGCGTGTCCACCTTCTCTCAGACGGGAAAGTTTCACAGTCAGCAGTCACACATCCAGTGTCCTTCTCTGGACACTAAGGTCACATGGCCAGCTTCTCCTGGACACTGTAGTAATGCATCCAATTGATGGGAATTTTAGCAACCCATGACTTGATTGACCTGAAGAAGTGTCTACTAAGGAGACATAGGGCCCACAGCCACATTTTGAATCCAAGACAACAGTGGTGACTATCAGCTTTGTGCAGCCCCTGAGATTTTCCCAGGTGCTTCCCTCACCTGGACTTGCATGTCCTGCTTACCCATGCCTCTGAAAGGGCCATGCTACATAGCCTGGGCAGATCCTTCCCACTCTGAGATCTGATCCCCAGTTCTGCCTTTTCCTCTGTCACAAGTCAGAGCTTTGCATCTATGATCTTCTTCCCAAATGAATTGAAGGACTGAACTGTGAATATTAATCCAGCTACTTAATACCCTCCCACCACAGGGCTGCAGAGGGCATCTCATCCCTGTTCACTGAATATTTGAATGCTGGAGTTATGTTAGCTGCCTCATCATCCTTCAGTACTGAGCTAGGATATCAGGAAGCCATAATATACAGTTCTTCACAGTCTCCCCTTGAGCCAACTAAAACAGGAACTTAGGCGAACACAATGGGTTCTCCCTGTCTGTAGCCATGCTCTGTGACCTCAGGGCCCACACATCTTTCCCTTGGAAACAACAGCTATGGCATAAAGATGCAGGGGAGACAGCATCTCTCACCACCATAGGAAGGTGCTGGGAAAGCATTAAAGGCTGGACCGCTGAGATTCACCAGGCAAATCTACAAGGTACATTTAGGAAACAACTCTAAACTATCAGTCTTAATAGAGGGAGCTCTTGAGTGATGTAGCACCCACTCCCATGACTGGCTTCACCCCCAGGTTTGAGCAGCTACACCTTTTGCCTGAGCCTCTGGTTTGACACTAGTGTCTTGCTTCATAAAATCCTGACCTGACACAGAACCATCCCAGCTCTTCCCGGATGTCCCTTATGAACTCTTGGATGGCAGAGGGGATCAGTGTTGACTGGGTTCAGAGAAGTGAGTACCCAGAAGAGAAGGAACAATGTGGGCCTCACTCAGTCACAACCCTCTCTCAGGTTGTGAGCCTCCCTGTGAAGGTCCGAAGAGAAGGACATCGCAGCCTTCACACTGTGCTTGTAGCCACACACTATGATATTTTCAACTTTTCAACACTGATGAGAATGATAAAAGCCATTCGTATAATTTTATGATTTTTGCCAAAAGTCAACATAAAATTGTTCATACTTCATTGCTCCCATTTTTTCCTAAGAATTTTCTTGAAGAATGTTTTGCTAAAAACCTCTAAAAGATGCAGTGGAATGATGTTGTCTACAAAGACTTCAGCTTCAGATATCAACCAAATCATAGGTTTGGTTTGGTTTTTTGTTGTTGTTGCTGTTTTTGTTGTTGTTTGTTTATTTGTTTGGTTGTTGAGTTGGGTTTGGAGGAGGGTTGTTTTGTTTGATTTGGTTTAGGTTTTGGTTTTAGATTTTCACCATGGGCTAAATATATACAAAAACTATATGGAAGTTCCAAAACTTCAATATCAAACTTAATTGGGGATGTAAACTGACACTTATGATTGTTTGGAAAACCTTCCACTATATTTTGTAAATTTCAGTATGTTTTTTAAATAATCTTGCAGTTACAGACTGGTGGGAGAAAGAAAAAAACTGGTGAGGGTCCAAAGACTGAAAATGGTTACCACAGAATATAAAATAAATGAGGGTTTTAGGCAAGGCTTGGGGGCCTCATGCTGTCTGCAAGGGGGAGAACTGTGGTCTATGGTGCTACCGCTGGGACCAGTCCAGCTTCTCCAGGTCAGACTAAGCACTGATTTCCCCAGGTGTGTCCTGTAGGGCTTTGCACAAGGGGATGAGGCCACCGTTCAGAAACAGGAGTGAAGGAGCCTACAGGAATTAGGGTAGGACTCAGGGCCCAGTTTATCACTTTTACAAGGGTATAGGAGGCTGAGAAATGCAGTTGTCCCAAGGGCTCTGTAGGACAAAGCATAGTTGTCTTCTCTGGTTCCAGAACAGCAAACTACCTTCTGCCTGGAAATTCCCAAATTTTCCTAGAATCATCCAGGGAGTTCTACATATGTGGCTTCAAAGATGGCCAAAATATCATCTGACCCCAGGATCATTACGCCCCAAAGTCAGGAGTTGGTTCTGCCTTGCATTTGCTCTTAGCCGCTGTGTGTGCTGGACACATGCTCAGCCCCAGCCACACTGCCACTCCTCATACATGGGTTTTTAAGGAGTAGTTAGTGGTTTGAAGAAAATACATAATACAAGCTTTAAAAAGCAGTAGAAGACATTATGTATACAAATATACGTACATAGATAACGAAGATACAGATGAACCTTCCTCAATTTCATGATATGCATGTTGTATGAAAAATAAAATGTATGTGTGTGCAAAATATTCTAGAAAAATACAATGAGGTCCAAGGTTGACTGGCTCTGGTCACACTTAGCAATGTCATTTGAAAGTAATGTTCAAGCTAGGTACCTGTGGTACACACCTGTAATCCCAACCATTTCGAGTCTGAGGCAGGAGGACAGTCATGAGTTCAAATACAGCCTCGCCCACATTGTAACACCCTGTCTCTAAACAAAACCAAGATGTTGGGATATTGTTCAGCTGTAGAAAGTTTCCCAGGAGGCATAAGGCCCTGGATCAGATGCCCAATACTACAATATAATTATAATTCCAAAAGGTCCTGGGTAGTGAACTCCATGTATTACTATAAAAACGCACGACTCTTTCTGTTATATTTAAGATACCTCAGAGAAATGCAGAAAGGCCTATATAAAACCAAAGGGTTTGTATCCACAACAAAGATCTCCCACTACGGAGGAGCCAGATACTGACCAGGAAACCGAGTCATGACATCACAATTGGTTTAATGATGGCCCTGAAGCGTGCTGTTTTCTAGACATTGGCATCCACCCTTTAGTTTGGCTTTAGTGAGCCAGGTATGGTAGTGCGCTCCTTTAACCACAGCACTTGGGAGGCAGAGGCAAGTGGGTCTCTGTGTTTGACGCCAGCCTGGTCTACACATCACCTTCCCGGCCCGCCAAGGCTGCATAGTGATATATAGTCTAAAACAATAAAAAAAAAAGCATTTGCATTTTAAACATTAGAAGAACCTGTGCCATTCTGCAAGTCAGATTTAGTTATAAAATCTCAGAAATGTTTTCTTTTATTTCCTTGATAGGGGTAATTCAGGGAAATGTACATTACCCCTATGAAGGTATGTCACATTTTTTATTTCATTTAATTAAGTGGTTGCTATGGAAACATAGCTGAACTGTCGACCTGAGAACAGACCTATGTGGAAAGTGTGTGCTTTGCCCTCTCTTGTGAAAGCTCTTGTCAGCTGACTCTGCTCAGAGTCTGTTGTTGAACCACAAAGCTGGTAGTTCCTGGTGTCGCTTTCTGGATAAAACTTCCCAAAGTGACAGCCCATCAGGAGTCTCTCTGTCCCACAGTTCAGTTTTGTGATGACAATCTAGCCTCTCAGGGCAATGGGAAAACCTGAAAAAGTTGAAGACAAAATTAATAAATTTCCCCTTTTGTACAAAGGAGCTCTCTGGGGTTTGTTTTTCAACTTGGCATGTGGCCAAGGAACTGGTAACAGAACACTGATGGTTCTGCTCCATCATAGCTGAAAGGTCACACCACACTGTCCTACTATTGGCTGCAAGCCAAGCAGACCTAGGTCTCACTCAGTGTGAGCCTGACACCAGGAGAAAACTGCTGAGATAAAGCAAGCAAAACAACAGGGCACTCTAGAGCTCAGATCCCCTATCACCAGGAAGTGCTCCTCTCGAAGAGATGAAAGGTCAGGTATGTGTTCAAACGAGTGACAGGAAATTGATCAGATTCCAAACATGAATCTGACCCAGCATTTAAATAGAATAGATCTTCTCTTGTGATCATCTTCTATTGCATCCTTATCAATGTAAGAGATAATATATTGCTTTTTGTGGATGTCCTCCTTTGGCTATAGATGCTAAATATTTAGGTTAGTGAAAAGTTTCCTCTGTGAAGCTCTCCTTGGGATCCCACTATTTCACTGGGAAAATAATTCCTCATAACCAAATCAAACCTCAGCTC